TTGTTTTTTAGGTCATATGACTTGGGCTAATTGGTACCAAGTTTGACTAGGAATGACAGGACACGGTGCTGTAGGAAATACCAATGTGGTTACCCGGGCTCTCTGTCCCGCCAGGGTAAGGGACTCAGGCTCCTTCTACCACGTTTTTCCACCGCGGGCCAGCTCCCTTCCCAAGCCGTCCTTACAGTCCCCTTTCTCGTCCGCACCCGCCCTGCAGGAAGTGAGGCGGGGACAGACATAGGCAGGCTGCTCTCCTAGGGACCCTTCTTAGAACTCGCACGGAACGCCCACTTCCGTTGCTGCAGTGTAGACCCCGCCAGCCAGAACTTAGGCCCCTGGTCGCGTCTAGTTCAAGGAAGGCTGGGAAGTGTAGTTTCCGTTTGAGAAAGCCGTAGCCTGGCTAACTCAGAGGTTTCATTTCTTAGGACTAAGGAAAGAAGGAATAATGCGGGAGAGGAGAGATGGCCATCTGTGCCTTCCTTCCCCCACGCAGACCGCACTCGCCTCCTGCCCCCAGGACAATCGCGTCCAGTCGCTGCCTCTGGCTCAAGATCCAGGATCCCAGGCGGAGCACAGTCCTCTGCAGGGGATTCGAATGAGGCTGTCGGCGGTTTGACAACCTACGAACTAAATAATAAGTTATTTGTTCTTAATACCCCAACATGAGGGAGGTGAGTGAGAACAAGATAGCTGCGAAAAAACTCCCACGTGGAAGCTGGCGGCTGACGGTCGTCACCGCCCAGACGCGCGAGCAAATCCCAGGTGGCAGGAAGAGTAGAGCCTCCCTCTGCAGCCGCGGCGTCACGGCCCGACCTTGTGTTCTTGGAGGGTCTTCCCCGCTCCATCTGCGCCGCCACCCCCGACGTGGCATCCGAGGGTGTGCTTTCCCGGGCCGCACGGCGCCTGCAGTTTGCTTCTTGTTTCTCAGGTTGGTGGTTCCAGATATTGCTTTGGGGTTAAATCGTCACAGCTTTTTGTAGGCCAGGCTTGTGGTTTCTTTGGCAAAACTGTGTTTCCAAAAACATAAAGATTTCAGACCTACTTGTTCACGGTGAGCTCTGTCTGCAAAGACACAGTTTATAGCACCGAAGATTCTGGCCCTTTCCTCGGGGCCTCTGTGCTGTTCCGACGCCGCCTCTCTCAGCGTGACCGCGCCCACCTTGAGCCCTCAGAGGCAACGGGCTTGGCTGGAAAGGCAACACCCTTAAAATGGCTTTTGACACGAAGTTCCAAATGGGAGGACGGCAGCACTGGTTTCATTTTCTGCCAAGTACGCTGTTTGCAGAAACCACTCCTGTGACCGATGTAGTTTGAGAGACGCAGCAGGTGCTTTTTTCAACCCTGCAAGGCTCCAAATTACCAAGCGCTCGGTCGGCTTAGATTGCAGACCGCGGGCGGAGAGCGTCTCCATCAGCACAGCTGCCGTTCCTCTCGTTCCCGCTCGGGCACTGGCCAGCAGCAGCCAAAGTCCGTCTCTCTCTCGTACATCGCTGCTGAAAGCACTGAGAAGCAGCTAATGCTTTTCTCTGTTATGAATTTCTCCTGCCATTCCTACTTCAATGCTTGTTCAGGACATGGGCTGCTTTTCAAAAAACAACAGGGGCCTTTTTTTCAAATGCTTTGTTTCTGTGTAACAAGGGCCGCCAGCTCTCTAGCCCACAATATTTGAGTCTCTGCCACCTGAACACATTCGTTAAGCCAATGCCACATGCTTAAGTTCTGCTACTCATAGCTCGCTCCTCTAGGTTCTGTACTTTGTATAAGATTAGATTTGGCCACATTTAATTCTCCCCTATTTTGCATCTAGTATAAGGTGGTCCAGGGATGGAGTGGAGGTCTATGGTGTCAGGGAGCCCTGTCCCTTCTATCCTGTTGCCACATCATGTATCAGCTCTGATGGCAACACACAGGATGGCTGCCCCAGCTCTGGCCATCATATTCTCGTGCCCAGAAGAGGCGGAGGAGACAGACACATCTCCACGCTTCAAGGACACTTCCTGGACGTTGCCTCCTATTGGCCAGCATTCAGACACACGGCCTTACCCAGCAGAGATGGAGGATGGGAAACATCACTCCCATTTGGGACCACATGTGCACAGCAAGAATTCAGGGTTCTTTTACAGAAGAAAAGAAGGTAACACATATTAGAGCAATCAGCAGTCTCTGCGGCCTCATACATCAATTCTCAGTACTGGTGTGTTTGTGTTGGGAAAAGTTAAAGGACTATGTTTTTATAGCTCCAGAATTCTTTATCCTCCTCCTCCTTCATGGCAGATGTGTGTGGCCCTGGACACACGCATTTCAGACGAGGCAAAACTTGACAAGCTTTGCACTCTCTGCCACACGGAAAAAGTCTCCGATGAGGGGGAATAATCTCAGAACATCCTCTCCCTGGCACTGTCTTGGTTTCCTTGATGGCTGCCACCGGTCATCTGTGAGGGGACTGTTGCTAAGTCTACTTCATGGGGACATAAAATGAGGTCTCCCTGGTCAGCGTTTCACTTGGGAAAAGGAAAGTTTAACAACCGAGATGTCTTCTGTTTAGTAAATCATAAAAGTGAGCAAGACAAACATTTCAGATGAAAAGCTTTATAAAACCAATGAGATTGTTATTGTGCATGAAAACCAAAATTGATGAAATGCAAAGTAAATATTTAACTTCTGAGACTGAAGCGATCTTTGGATTGCTAAGTAATTTAGAGGTTAATGTTCTTAATAAAATCACATTTTCCCTGAAAATATTTACTATTTGTGTTTTATTCCCCCTTCATTGCCATTAGCAAGAACTGACTTAATTTATGAGTATGTGTGAATTCCATTGGAGGCTAACAAGTTTCACCAAAACCTGCTGGTGCTGACATTTTCAGTGGAAACCTTTTTTAGGCACATAGACAGACTTGAGAAAGCACTTGTGGGAGGAACCAGCCAATATCCAGGAATGTTTCCTGCAGACGTTAGTTGGAGAAGTTGATAATATACAATGTAAACTTGCATCTAAAGGGACAGGCTGAAGTATCATATACTTCACGAAGATGCTAATACAGCCATTTATTCCACTGGACGCTATAACCCCAAAGCCTGAGGCCTATTAAAATGGTCAAGATGTGAAAAAAAAATTATTGGCTTTAAAATACAATCAGAAAACCCCCAAAAATCAAAATTAATAAATGTCTAATTAAATAGCTACAAAATACGACATTTTGTTCTTCTCCTTAATTGTTAAATTTGGTGTTCATGAATATTTCACAAGTATTATGTTACTTTTGAAAAAAAATTTGTTGGTGAGTATCTCATAATGCAAGAATCCTCAAATAAGCACCACAACTGCCAAGGTTTCATAGCCAGTAGTAAGTTCAACGAGTTACCGTAGCCAAAAGCAAACTTACTTAAAACCTTTCAAAATGTGCATGGCAATGTGTCTGTTTTTAACGCAGGGTATGTCTACATCTTAATATGTTTGATAGGATGTGGAGTTCCCAAAAAGAGTGCCTTAGGGAAGAGGTTAACCACACTTTTTCTGTAAAACGTGGACCATGCAGTCTCTGATGCAAATGCTCAGCTCTGTTGCTGGAGCACAAAAGCAGCCATAGGCAATACCTAAGCAAATGAGTGAGGCTGTGTGCCAATAAAATTTTATTTAGAAGAACCAATGGTGGGCGAGATTTGCCTCATGGTGATAAGGCAAATATGGAAGGTCTGATAACCACCAACTGACCCCTGCCAACAATTCAGACTTAAAAGTATATTTTTCTAAAAAATTACCTTTATCCTGAACTCTGCTCTGAATCATGCCAGTATTAGCACAGCTGTTCTACACACTCACGTGTCAGATTCAGACACTCCAATGCTTTAGATATGGTTTTTCTTCTTTATTGGTTGCCCAGAGCACTAGAGAATGAATGAAGTCCCTACGTACGGACAGCTGCGATCTGAAAGTAAGCATTTGCGCGGCTGCTTCAGAACGAAGGGGAAAGTTCTAACTCTGAGCTAAAACTCCCCATTGATGGATAACAACAGCACAGGTGTATCCTCAGGCACGTGAGAGGACAGTCACAAAAGATAATGCTCGTTAGTTACATAAAAGTTTTTAGATGTGGCTGCAGGGTTTCAGATATCCAACATACACACCGAAGTGTCCTGGTAGCGTTTTAAACTTTGCTTAGTCAGACTCACTCTTATCTATTATTCAGACAAGAAAACTATTTATGGGGCACACGTCCTACCATATAAAAATTTTTAAGACTTTTAAAAAAGACCATCCCTTGCAACTTACACTAGCAATAAGTGGACAAAGAAAAACCAATTACAGTTTGCAGTTTTGTATAAGATAAAAATGTAATCAGAACATATTCATTCAAAGTCTCCTAAATTCCCTTTACTTACTTAATGCAAGTTATATTATGCCAGTTCTTCCTTTTTTTTTTAAAGCGTGTACTGCTTATAACGTTGTAAGCATAATCATTTCTCTCAAGAGAACATATTTTATCTATCTAACCCACATGTGAAAAGGGACCAGCATTTTTTTTAAAAAAGATCACTAAAAGTATTGATTATGAATGTTCTAGAAAACATTTCCCTATTCACCTATTTTTTTCACTTCGACCGAAGCAGAATCATAATTGTCGAAATATAAATGACCTTTTAAATCCATTTTTACATTTCCCAGTGTTGCCAGAGAGCTGGGTAATCTACAGATTACATTCATTTACCCTCAGCGCTAGGCTGCTAAGGGAAGCAAAGAATAATCCAACTAAATTCAAATTTGTTTAGAAAATCCGACCAACCAAATTTTAATAAAGTACAACCCGCTATTTTGCTTTGGTTTGAGATGGCTGGTCTGAGAATATCAAAGCATTTAAACCAGACTAAGAGTTCGTCCTCATCCTAGGACTGGGAAGTTATTAAAAATAAGAACAAAGGCAGAAAAAAAAATCCCTGAATAGTGGCTAGTGACTGCCCTCCTCGAATGGGTCCAGTTCTCCAAAATAGGCATCGTTTACGGAAGAGACGCCTCGCTGGGAATACATCTCCCCAAGTGCGGCAGCTTTCGAACCCAGGTAGTCCAGCACGTCGGGCGGCAGCTCCTGCTCCGAGACAGCGAGGGAACTGAGGGACGGGGCCCCTGCGCTCGTTCCCTCCTCCAGGTAGACGTGGGGCTGGCAGCCGCCGTCATCTTCCTGCACGTCCACGGCACGGAGCTTCTGCGGAGAGGCGGGAGAGAGCGGGTAAGTGTGCGCGCCTCCCACGCAGCTTCCCCTGGGCGTGATCTGAGGATCCGGCGTCGGTGGCGGCAGCACCCAAGGCCCCGCTGTCTCGGGAGCGTCTGCAGACTCAGAGATGGCAGGCGGGCTGGGGAGGAAGAGACCACTGTCCGTCTCCGGCTAATTTCTGGGAAGGGACTGTGACCGTTTGGGTGGTGGCCGTCCCAGGTGGTAGGCCAGGGGCCCTGCCTCCTCCGCCCTCTTGCAGATCCACTCTTTGGGGTCCTCCTACCCCTCCTGTGCCCTGGACGCCTCCCAGCCTGGGACTCCCCTGGATCCTCATTTGGGACAACTGTCCCCTCTTTTCTGCGTCAATTCTGCTTGCACTTCATGGCCGCCTTCTAAGGAGGGGGGTCACCACTCTGCATCGCTTCCACCCCCATCGCTCCTCAAACCACTACTCTCTGGTTTGCCAGGTGCATGCTGCAGCCATAGCTTCATCTGTCCCCAAACCAATCACCATCACCACCTAGGACACTCTCTGCGGTCACATCCAGAGCCGGAATTCCTACCGACCATTGGGCAGCTCCACAAGGACGTGCACAGGGACCTCAGACTCAACACCCTTGAAACTCCTCATTCTTCCTCGAACCTGCTTCCCCCCTCTTCCCCTCCCTCAGTGTCCTCCAGGGCAGTGTGCAGACCCTGTGACCGCCTGGGGACAAATCCAGCCACCACCCACTGTTGTAAGTTCTGTGGGAACACAGCAAGACATGTGGTCTGGGGCTGTCCTCAGGCTGCAAAGGCAGAGCTGCCCTGCAGTGACTTAACCCTTTCCGGGAGGTTTTCTGGCCCTGCCATACGAGAGGACTTTGGATGGTACCGGGACACCTATTTATTTGAACAGACAGCCATTGTAATGTACATTTTAAAACAAGGACAAGCACATTGACTCCAGGATTTCACAAACACCATTGTTTAGCTGACAGTAACGCAAAAAGTTCATTCAAATGTGAGCCGCTGTGCAGAAAGGCTTTAGGGAAATGACAGCGAGTGGCTCAAAACAAGACAGTGACCGCAGTGAGAGAAAGACTGAAGTCTGTGAAACTCCAGCTCGGCTCACATCGTGACACCCCAAACAGCCCGGCTGTTCAAGCTCGAAACCTCGAGTTGTCCCCCACTGCCCCGCGGATGCTCAGCCACACTGCTGGTCACCTCCTGGGTCCCCTCTTCTCCAGCCCCGTGGCCAACACCTTAGGTCAAGCCCTATCTCCAGCGTGGGGCGGAGAGTGGCCAGGAGTTAACCAAACTCACTTTCTGCTCTTCCTGGGCACCCCGCAAGGCCGCGTCTCCCGCCTGTCAGTTAAAGTGTCACGTGACTGAGCACAGCTGGAGAAAAGTGACCGTGGGGACACTTACGCAGCCTGGCTGGCCTCCCCAAGAGCCTCTGCTCTCTCTTTGCCATCCTCCAGCCCCGTCTCCAGGTTCTAATGGTGGCAGAGCCATGAGGCAGACGGAGCCTGGGCCCTGCCTCCCGCTTGGAAGGCTCCTGGACACCCATCTGAACCGTGACATCCGCCGGAGACGGGCGGTCTTTGCACGAAGCCACTCTCACGCAGGGTTATGACTTTTCCCTCCTGACAGCCGACTTCTCGCCCCTCCCAGCCTCTCTCCGACCCCTCCTGCCTCTCGTCCACTCTGCGCACAAGCACCAGAGACACTTTCTGGGCCTCGGATCTGTTCCGACATCGCTCTGCCTAAAGCCCTCAGGAGCAGTCCTCAGCCTCCAAAACCCAGACACACTCCAGCCCCACAGGGTGCCGGCCCTGTCACCCGGCAGGGCCGTCTTCCTACCCTCACCTCTGCACATCCCCTCCGGACTGTCCTCCTGGCGGCTGCACCTGCTGTCCACTTCTCCATGAATGACCGTCCCCACCTGCCAACCTCCACTCGGCAAACTCCAGCTCATCGTTCAGGGCCCAAGATGCCTCTCTGAAGACTTTTCTGGATTTTCCTGTCCTAAGTGACTCAGTATGTTGGTGGAAGGAAGGAAGGGAGGGCGGCTTTAGCCTGTTTACCTTCTAACATCCCTGAGGGGGCGATTCTGACCCCAGTTCTGCCAGCCTTGGCGGGAGTGGGTTTGGTGGGACCCTCTAACCCGTCAGCAGCTGCCTGGATTCCCGGGTGGGGAACTCACCCAGAGCTTGAAGACAGTCGGCTCTGAGGGCTCGGAACCCAAAGTTCCGAGGTTGGGGAGGTGGGGGAGGCCTGGGAAGTGCAGCTGAGGGGTCCCCGAGACTCCATGCCTGTCCCCATTCTGAGGGGGCCACTCGGCTCCCCAGCCCTCAGCCCACCCACTGGCTCTGGCAGCAACTGTCTCCACCTGCCTCCGGGTCACAGCAGGAGCCCTTCCCAGGCCCTCCGTTTAGTGGCAAACAGCATCTCCCAGCCCTGTGTCTATGACACGTCAGGCCTGGTGCCCACAGGTAAGGGTAAGACCACTCACCTGTGCACCCGTCTACCGCCTGGGTTGCTTATTTGGGGACTGCAGTCACCGTACGACCACGTGACCACATGGCATGGGGTGCTGGGCTGGGGAGGGGGGGAAGCTCTCGCCAGCTAACAAGCGAATCCACGGCCCCGGCCAAGGCGCTGGGAGTCCCGGCACGTCCCGCGGTGAAGCTGACTGGGTGAGCAACGACAGGCCTGGCGTGCGCAGAGCCTCAGACTGTGCAGTGGGTCTGGGCTGCCTGGACTCCACCCCAACCCCCCCAGGCGGACGGCAGAGCAGTGGGTTTCTGCAGCCCAATCCAGCGGAAGCTGCATGAGATCAGTAATTCATCAGAAACCACCAGCTAGGCTAGTGGGCTCGCGGGGAAAGAGCTGCGCCTTCTAATCTGCTTTTTCCTCCTCTCACACCACCAGGCGCAGAGCTCGGAGCTCTCCCTGATAAAGCTGCCTGCCTGCCTGGCAGAGGGCGGAGGGGGTCCCCGGCCACCACGCAGCCTTCTCCTGCTGCCCCCTGGGTGGGACCTGCGCCCCATCCACGCGCTCTACTTGGCAGGAGCTCCGTGTGTGTGCGTGCACACGTGACGATGGGTAAGCCAGACACTATGTCATGATCACCATGTCCTGTATGTAGCCACGTGGTCTCATCTGTGCACAGCGTCATCCCTGAGAATGTAGTGGACTGTCCCTACCCTACTTTATAGATGGAAATTTAAGGCGCAGAGAGAAGAGACTTCCCCAGTATATTGCTCACTGATCAGGTGGGCCGTCTGGAGTCGGCCAACCTGTGCCCCCTCCCCCACCAGCTTTACCACTTGGGGCAACGTCTGCGAGTCTCCCTTTTCGGATCTGTCTGCCTCCTTGGGCTGTAGTGAAGGAAGGTTCTTTCATCCACTCCTCCTTCAGTGACCATGTGTCGTGCACCAGTAATGACACAGTCCTGCCCTCCCGGGGGGCTGCTGTCTGCTCAGGGAGAGATGCACAGGCAGATCTTTCTCTGCCGCTCACTCCTTGACTTCCTCACCAGCGACCAGGGCCTGGCGAAGCCTCCTGCAGCCCCACCCATGGGCGCACAGCCCCCTCCCCCAGGAGCCTGGCTAGTCTGGCTCTAGGGCAGCTTCTGGTCTTGGAGAGAACATTTGCATTATGTCCCAGCAGACACGAGGCATCAGCCATTCTGCAGGACTCCAGAGCAGGAGCCAGGGCTGTCAGTGAGGCGTGGAGCTGGAGCTCCCACCCTGGGGACTGTGATGACAACCAGGGGGAGCTGACCCCGGGGAGATCCCAGGCAGTGACTCCACACCCTGACACTGTCTGGGGTCTCCTCCCCCGGCCTCAGTGCCGGCGGCCCTGTCTGTCCCGTGTCCGCTCTGACAGCCAGAGCACAGGCACATTAGCGGGTTTCACAAAACGGGGTCCCAGGACCTCAAGTCAGAGGCCCTGACGAGCTCCCCAGGCCCCTAATGCAGGGGCTCCAGAGCTGGGCCTGGGACTGCTGCTTTGCAACGAGCCCTCAAGTGCCGAGGCCCTGGACCTAACTGCCTGCATCTGAGCCCCAAATCTAGCGCTTTCTACAGCTGTGACCTTGGACACGTGACCTAAGGTCTTTGTTCCTGAGTTTTCTCATTTTATATAAAGGAATATGACAGTACCTGCCCTGGCGGGTGATGTGAGGACTGAGAGTTAATGTCTTTCGAGCACTCAGAACGAAGTCTGGAACGAAGTGAGTATTATACGTGTGTTTGTCAAATAAAATGTCTTGACGGACAGAGACTGCCACATTTACACCTTCCTTCTGTGCGTCTTATGTCATGGGTCTGAGTCCCGGCTTCCCTGCAACACGTGCAGCTCCTCAGGCTCAGACCGCCGGTGCCGCTTCTGTGTGCGTCCCTCCCTGTGCGGTGACACGCAGAGCCTCCGAGCCTCCAGCGTGGGGACCCGCTTGGCTCCTTCCATAAACCTGCCCATGGGTTTGCCCAGGGTAGCCATGTTGAGCAACCTTCCAGGATACGTCTGGCATCAAAGTCTTGCCTGATAACCCCCTTCCGCACAGTCCGACCTCATTGTTCACTACTTTGCAGAAAAAGACCTTCTCATTCTGCCTCGAGTTGGGTTCTGCAGAGCAGCCCCAGAAGGAGGATTCCCATGAAAGTGATTGTTACGGACTGAATCATGACCGCCCTCCCCCAAATTCATATGCTGAAGCCCCAATCCTAATGTGACGGTATTTGGAGATGGGGCCTTTGGGAGATAATTAGATTCAGATGAGGTCATGAGGGTGGGGTCCTCATGACGGGATTAGTGTCCTACTAAGAAGACACACCAGAGCGCCTGGTCTGTCTCTCTGCCCCCCACCATGTGAGGACACAGCAAGAAGGTGGCCGTCTACAAGCCAGAAAGAGAGCCCTCCCCCGAACCTGACCCTGATCTCAGACTTCCAGCCTCCGTAACCGTGAGACAATGGATTCCTGTTTTGTAAGCCATAGCATTTTGTTGTGGCAGCCTAAGCTGATACAGTGATTCAGGAGGAAGAGTCCCCGGGTCAAGCCTGGAGCACAGTGGGGACACAGAACCAGCAGGCCACGCACAGGATGAGGGGCGCTGTCCCTACCTGACGCAGTGTCTCCTCTATCCTTCCTTCCACGGGGGCCAGCAGTCTCCTGGGCATTGCGCCACCTGGGTAGACCTGCAAAGCAAACCGGTAGAACCCTAGCACCACCGAGGAGCCCTGTCCCTTCCACCACACCCACGCCATGTCAACGGCCCCCAGCACAGACGGGGCGGACTCCGCACAGCTCTCTCGGAGGTAAAGGGCCGGGGCAGGGCCATTTGCTCACGTTTCACCTCTTTGTGTTGGGGCGAGGGGAGAGGCCCTGCGAGGTCCCAGTGCTAGACCCAGACCCTCCAACGCCCACCAGGGAAGGAGGAACCCGGAGCGAGCCTGGCCCGCAGGGCTCAGGGCTGCTCCACAGACTCGATCCGGCAGCAGGCTGGCTCGTGTCGGCAGCCCTGCCCACGCCCTGTGCCCTGGACTGCGCTTTTCCTCCGGCTCTTCCGCCTCCTCTCCCCCCACCCTCTGAACCTTGCCCGGAGCCAGCGGCACGTCGTGCTCACGGGAGATCACTGGCGGGCACGTGCTGCGTGGCAAGTGTTTGTGGATCTAGGTCTCCGGGCACTGTCAAAGGGCTGAGGACACAGGCTCAGCGTCTACCACATGGAGTGGCCACCCGGGAGTCCACAGAACCCACAACTGAATCCTGCAAGTCGGGGCCAGTGTGGAGTCCAGCCAGGCGCCCAGGGCCTCGCGCTTGGGCTCAGGCAGGTGCAAGACCAGCACCCAAGACTGGCGAGAAACGTAAGACTGATCAGCAAAGGAAGCTATAGGAAGGTCCCTCTCCCAGTGGGGGCCAGGGAGCCCTCTCAGGAGGAGAAGCAAAGTGAGAAGGAAGTGGACGGGCCACAGAGGAGGAGGGAATTCCAGGCGGAAGGGACAGCAGAGGCCTGGGCCGGGAGGGAACTCTGTGTGTTCTACATGGGGCCCAGAGAGGCCAGGGTGGGAGCAGAGGCCAGATGACAGAGGGGCTCAGAGGACCTTAAGGTCATAATGTTGTAGACTTTATCCCGGGGACAATGGCTAGCCATAGGGAAGTTTTAAACTGGAGAGTGACATGATACAATTTGTGTATTTAATCACTGGTGGCCTTTATGGCTGAGTTGATTTCTGGTCTTTCCTAGGTTTAGAGATACTTACTGGATTCTGGAAGACACATGTAAAAAATGATGAAATCTTGTCAATTTTATATGTCCATGAGGCTATATATACACATACCTGTACACATGCACATATAGACGCACACACAGATGCCTAGATACATATACATGCATTCACACACGTTCACATACACATGTACATACATCATCAACCCTTGAACAACACAGGGATTAGAGGTGCTCAACCTGCACAGTCGAAAATCCACCTATAACTCCGGACTGCCCCAAAACTCAACTACTCATAGCCTACTGTTGACCAGAAGCCATACTGATAACAAATAGGTGACTAACGCATATTTTGCGTGTTATATGTATTACATACTTGTACTCTTACAATAGGTAAGCTAGGGAAAAGAAAACGTCATTAGGAAACTCATAAGGAAGAGCAGCTACACTGACTTTCATCCAGTGGACGTGGGTCATCGTAAAGGTCTTCATCCTCATCATCTCCACGCTGGGTAGGCTGAGGAGGAGGAAGAGGAGGAGGGGCTGGTCTTGCTGTCGCAGGGGTGGCAGAGGTGGAAAAACGTTCTGCATATAAGTGGACTCCACAGTTCAAGGATCAACTGCCTGTGTGTGCCCGTCTATATACGCGTGCATACATACATGGCGTAACAGCGTTTCAACCAACGACAGACCGCAGACTTCATGTACTACGGTGGTCCTGTAAGATTTTAGTGCCGTATTTTTGCTACACCTCTCCTGTGTTTAGGTATGTTTAGATACACGAATCCTTATCACTGTGGCGCAGCTGCCTACAGTATTCAGTCCCGTCCCAGGCTGTACAGGTTTGTAGCCCAGGTGTGTAGTAGCTGTGACACCTAGGTTTAGATGTGCCCTGGCCAACATCCTGTTTTAACCCTGGGGGCCTCTCGGAGGAAACGCTGAAGATCCAGACTCTGTGCCACGAAGTCTCTCACCAGGTGCTCCCTGGTCAGCGCGGTGGTTCATGCCAGGCTGGAGGAAGACGCACGTCAGTCTCCAGCCTGGCTCCTTCCTGAGGTAGCCTGGGGGGCAGTTTTGCCTGGAGCCAACTTTAAGTCCTACCCCCATGCTACACGTGGCTCCACCGTGGCCGAGAGAGCGTCACTGCCCCTCTCTGGGCCTCTCTGGGCACAGTTACTGGTGTCAGACTGTCTCTAGGGTCCACGACTCCTCAAAGATACTTCAGCAAGAGTATCTGAATTTTATTGTAATTATTTACAAATTATTTCAATAATAATATTACTTTTATAATATAATAAAATGGTTTACATCTTTTTGAGCCCCCCTACTCCAATATGTTAATTTGGATGCTGTGTTAATTTGCTTTTATGAAATATGGATAAAGCTTTTTGTCCCATGTTTGATTAATCAAAGAGAATCCTATTATAAATTGTGCTACTTAAAAACTATTACTATTTGGAATTTCTTTTTGGTGTATATCAAAATTTTCTTGGTACTTTAAAAACCAAGTCGAAAATGTGAGGCAATGAATTAGGTGCTAAGATAACATCCTTTTTTTGTTTTCATCAGAGTCACTATTTTTATTGGCTATTTTGATAATAGGTATATGTTATAAATGTCAACGCAAACAAAACTGCTAGTAGGAAAAATTTATCTGTTTTCTTGATAATAGAGTTCTTTGTAGGATCTCATTTGAAAAGAAGAATTCTGCTGCTAAAAATATTTAGGGAAAATATGGACCAGATGTTGTCTCAGACCTACTTAGCTCAAAACTTCTGTACGTCTGCGAAGGGGCGCAGAGAAGACACGCAGCCTCTGACCCAGCTCTCGGCAACTGAGGCGCAGGAGGAACTTGCCAGGGACTGAAGGACTCTCACACCTCCAGGTCGCCAGGGAGCCGAGCCTTAGCTACTTCTAATCCGTTCCACATTCACTTCTCCGTTTGTTTGGATTTGGGGCATACTTTACACTACCCCTCTTCCCTTCCAAATTTCCGATTTTCAGGGCTTTCTGCAGCTATTAGGACAATAAGGTAATTCTCTTCATGGTAACATCTACATCTGTACTTACGGGAGTAGAGTATTTGTTTTTCGCTCCTCTTGGCTCAAAGAGTACGCCATGGCCCTTAAATTTAAGAAGGATAAAGTGTTTATCAGTTTCATATAAAATACCAAAGGATGCAAATGCATAACCAGAAATTGTCACAATCATATGGCATTTCATTTTTGTATAAAAGGTCTAGCAGTTCTAATGAGAGCAGTGTAGCTAGGTATACACAGCAGAAATCCCTGAACGAGCTTTATATTAAGTAGTTGCTTTGTGAGGAGAATGAGAATATTGGATTTACAACCTCTGTCTTGGGTCTGAAAGTGGCCAGTAAGACTTCCTTTCTGCCATGACCACGACCTCAACAGATGCGAATGACACACCCCACCCCTAAGACCCAGTTCCAGCTACACACCTTTCAAGGCCTAGTGCAAGAAGAAAATATGGGCCTCTTGTTCAAAAATTAAGAATTTCAAGATAGCAACAGTAAAACATTGAACCAAGCATGGGCCTATCTGAGCACGGGGCCTGTGTCCATGCAGCTGGCCCTGACAGGACCAGAGGGACATGTCCATCAATGCACAAGCCCTTCAGTGGTGGATTTGTGGTGTCATCTTTCTACAAACAACAGCACATTTTTGCTCTGATGTAGCCTGAGCAAAGACACACATTTACAGAGATCTCGAATTCATATTTAGAAGCATTTCCTCATAAAAACTGAACACAATACCATGGCTCTTTGGACTATGACCTCTTTTAATTCTATGTCTGAAAGTAGATTTTTGTTAAAATAATAGCCAGTTAAACTGGTGAAGTCCAAATCAGGTCTGTGTTTGATACCTGCATTAACAGTGTACCGCCAAAGTCGGTTTTCTGGTTTTGGTAATACAGCAAGGTTCTGTGAGATATTATCCTGGGGGTGCGGAGGAAGGGGCCACAGGAACTCTCCTGCTATTTTGCAACTTCTGTGAGTCTAAAATTACTTCATAAAAATCATTTTACAAAGCAAAGCCATAGTTCTAGAATCTCCATATAGCGTGGGGAATTCAGGGCTCCATCTATCGGGGAGCGTGAAGTCGCTCGGCGGGAGTTCGGTCAGCGTCAGAGTCACGTGCTCCTAACCTCACAGATCATCTCTGCTGCCCTTAGATGGCCACGAGCAGAAACATCTAATTGTGGATGTTCTGAAAGTGTCTATTTGATCAGGACTATCAAACAAAAACTCTTAATCCAACAGCTACCAGCTATCATAATATTAACAATAGCTAGTTGGACAGATGGAAAAATGGTTGATTGGAAAAAGCCCCACTTCTCAGATTGTCATTGACTATGTGTTTGTTCTAACAGTATCACAGAATCTTCCAGAAGGATCCTCTCGAGGGAACCGACTGTCAGTCACTAGTGACAGGACCGCAGCAGGGAGTGACCACCTGCAACTCACCGGAGTCCCCAGAGCGAAGCGTACTTGGTCTGATGAAGCCGCTGTTGACGGCGGCAGGTCACCGAGACCCTGGGGGAGAAATGTGGATTTACCCACGGGAGACGCATTTCCCACCAGCCGGGAGAGAAGCAGACACGTGTGACCTTCCACGCCTGCCCTGCTCGGGGACTCACAGGCAGATAAAAGCTAGTCTGATGAGACGGAGGGAGAGTGGGAGTCGGGAAGGAAAGTGGGGGAGACGCGAGGAAACCAGGCGGAGCAGGGTGGGACGGGCTGCGATGTGACGTGGACACGCGGGCTCTCACAGTCTACATGAGACGCAGGTGCTGGGAAACCGAGCAGACTTGCAGACAAGATCTAGAAGGTGACACTCGCAAGTAAAACGGTTTAGATTCAGGGATGAGACTGTGGGCGATTTTTGCTTTGGGTTTCCATTATTTTAATAGAGACCCTTCCATGATGGAGTAAAATTTCAAAGGAAATAAAGCAGGCAATGGACCTTGACAGTGGTTTTACTAAAGATATTTCATGCTTTGCAGCAGGTTTTAAAATATCAGTTTACCCGACAAATCATAAGTGACCACTTAGGGAAAGCGTGTCAATGGCGGTTAATTTAACCAGTCACCACAGACGATCTCACATTTGCAGGACTCTGCAGAGAGAATCCAAAGACTTGCTGAGAAAAAGAAGCCGGTGGGCCTGGGTTTCCTGCCCTGTAAAATAGGGACGATCGCCCCCGACCCCTGCGGGGTTCTGGTGAGGATCCCATGGGGTCGTGGGTGCAGGGTGCACAGCGCGCTCCTCAGGGCGGCGTCTCTGGAAGCTCACAGGCTGGGTAAGAGGAGGACAGAGAGGGCTCCGCCAGCCAGGCGATGTCTTTGTAGCAGAAGGGGAAGGGCAGCCCTCGCCGGGAAAGGGTGAGTGAGCAGAACACTCGGGGACCTGCCCCGCTCCCGCCCTGGCCAGCAGCCCGCTCAGTCATTTCCCGCAGTCCCGGCTTAACTTTCTGTGCCCAAAGTGGGGGCCGCCGACCACTTCGGAAAGGGAAGATTTAGCCAGCTGGGCAACAGGCTTTTAAATAACATTGGCTTGCATGGTAAGAAAATTATTCCCTTTTTAATTCCTTTTCCACACCCTGAGGACACCCAGGAGAAAGTGTCACCCCTGCTCTCTGGCTTTCACAGCCCGCCTTTCCCACTGAGGTCCTGAGCCGTGGCAGGCGGCGCGATCCACCCGGAGCTACTGTGTTCATTTCTTGTGTGTGTTTTCACACGTGCCTGCTCCTTATATAAGTAACACTTGTTCTTATTTATATTTAACCTATAGAATTTCCTATTTAAATAAATGTACTGAATTTGGACATAAGTCCATTTAAACAACAATAGTTTATAAAACACACCAGTGGAAGTAGAATGCATATGGCAAAAAGGCACGAAGGTGTCACCGGACGGACGGGTTTGGAAGCACTGAGTCGCTGGCACTGCCACAGAGAGGAGGGAGCTTTGCCGCTGGGAGGCGAAGGGGCGTCAGGATGCGGGCACCACGGGGCTTTGCGGGTGGGGGCTGGGCTGGCAAGTGACCTGCAGGAGGTCCTCACTGGATGTGGGGGCGGGAGGAGCGTGCAGGGTGTTCCCTGCCATGGAAACCATCAGCAAAGTCACCTCTCCGTTTAAAATCAAGGAGCAAATAAGTGACGCGTTACCTCAGCACTCAGCTTGGCCCCCGCCACGGCCGTGTGTGTCTGCAGAGCTGGCATCTGGCCCTTGACATCTGACTGTGTCTGCGGAACACAGGGAGAGAAATATGACAGGCTGAAATTACAGAAGGCAGAAATAAAATCAGAAAGCCAGGAACGCCGTTTCCCCAAACACACTGTGTCTGCGCCACTGCAGGAAAAACCCAGACGGTGAAAAACACCTGTCCTATAAATCCGAGTGATTTGTTTGGAAAGGGAATGTTATTTCTGTTTGTCTTTGGTAATTGCTCGTTGGGAGGTTGTTTCTCGTGTCCAGTGTTTCGTGTAAAGTGATAGTAAAAGACTCTTGTTTCAGGAGACCTCAGAATCTAAAAGCTTGTCTTCTTCTAAGGCTCGTGGTGATGGCTCTTGGGGTCACCGCCGTTGCGAGGTGCTCTGTGCATTGTCTCGTTCATTTCTCACTCAACACACTGATTCTCGAGGGACTCAGATCTTCATGGTGCTGGATTTGTGTTGGCCAAGAGCTCACGAGCTTCCCACATACAGGGAAGGCACCTATGCAGTCCCAGAGGTCCCCTCCATCAGGTGGTAGAATGTGACCACGTGGGTGGAACCAGTGGTGACATCTTCCCAAGAGCAGAGAATGTCCCTGGTGAGTGGACATGCATGTGTGGGCTGGAACATCCAGGTAAGATGTTTAGACGGGTTAAGTGCGTGTACCGTGAGGTGGCCTTACTCGCCAATAGTCACAAAGACATACTCAGTAATCACTGCGGGCAATGCCAGCGCTGGCAGCCACCGTGTATCACATGAGCGCCCCGTCCTGTGCTCAGGACCTTACCTGCGCTATTTGATTAAATTGTCCAATAAACCTAAGAGAGAGAGAACACTATCAATCTAACTTTATATATGAAAGCCGAGAGTCAATTAGATTATGCAACAGATAAATCACAGATTCAGACTCTAACCCAGGTTTTCTGGATCCCAGTTCTCAGGGCAGGAAAGGAGACGCGCCCCACGCCGTGAGCGGGCAACAAGGGGAGGACGTTTTGATACAGGAAGAGAACAGATGTCCTTTCCCTGGGTGAGGCTCTTGTCCCTCTGATGCTGCTGGTCTGTGGCCAGTGCCGTCTTGTCCCCTCCAGCCTGCCGGTCTCAGCCCCGCAATGCCCAAGGTCCCTTCTTCCTCACACGGTGTCTGGGGCGTCTTCCTCTCTCCCAGAGACGGCTGCCCATCTGCCCATGGGAAAGGCACCCAGGGCACCCCAGCCTCTTCCATGTTGGCTGCAACTGGAGCCAGAGCTTGGGGAGTGCGACGTTCGGGCTGGTCTCCTGCAAGCTCAGCAGCTCTGGCTCTGCCTTACCAAGATGGAGGCTGCGGTCCAGCCCCAGGCCTAGGAGACATTTCTGTCCAGGGTTGAGCCTCAGAGCCAGGGGCGCTGCCTAAGGGAAGGGATTCCATCTGTTACGCAAAGACTGTCAAGGTGGTTTCCTTCTTAAAATGACACAAACAAATCGAAACTCTTAGCTGCTGCTCTCATGTTAGGCTGAGAGGGTTCCTTCCACGGGCTTCAGCGACCTAGAGAGTTTGTACCACGCTTCCTTTCTTCTCACGTCCAGCCCAGGAAGGGCTCACAGAGGCCTGCAGGGGTGCACAGATGCATGCATGCATGCACACACGCGCGTGCACACACACACAGACACACACACACAGAGCAGGTCGGAGGCTGCTACCTCCCTCCTGCCTTCACGCCGGCAGGGAAGACAACAGCAGGAAGAACCCTTGGAGTCACGCTCTAGCACCAGCTTCTTCAAACACCAAATACGTTTTAGCGCCTCTCTCTATTTACCTGAGCAGAACAGCAAAGTTAACTGGATGCTTTTCCCAAGTGTGCTACTCTATTGAACACGTCTCTTCCTTCCAGGACAAAACCGTCGGTGGACGTGTAAAATGGAACCCGAATCCTCTGTGTGCGAAAGACCTATTTCCTTTTGACGTTTGTTTTGCTTTCGTTTTTCAGATCAATCCCTCTTAGTTCTAGGTGGAGACAGACAGGAGAGCTCACGAGGCTTTCATGTCACCGCCCCCCACCCCAGCCCGGGGTGCTGCGTGGACGACTGAGATAAAGCCCCTCTTTCCCAGAAGCTGCAGGTTTAAAGACCCAGTGGTCACGGCCGCTTACTCCGTGTCGGTCGGCGTGAGTGACAGGTGCTTTCATAGCATCATCTGTGACCCATAGCCTGGCTGTGGGTTGACTTTATCATCCGGTTCACAGATGAGGGTGTGAACTGCTTGATGAAGCCAAAAAGATGCAAAGGCAGAAACAGAACCCAGGCCCTGAACCTGCAAGACCAGTGAGCTTCCCACCGGCCCTGCTGGACAAGGGTGGGGGGTTCTGCCACGCTCTACCCCAGGCCAGGGCCAGAAGGCAGCTCAGACTCTTTTAACTGTGAGCAGAACACAGTTCCATTTAGTGAGCCTCCATCTGGCAAAAACCACTCTTCCCCTGGGCCGGGTTTCTCAACCTCAGCACTTTTGACAACGGGCCAGATAATTCTCTGTGACTGTCTTGTGTGTTGTGGAATGTTCGGCAGCATCCCTGGCCTCAACCCAGGAGATGCCAGCAGCATTCCCAATTGTGACAATCAAAATTGTCTCCAGGCATTGCCAAATACCCTCTAGAGGGCAAAATTGCCCGGGGTTGAGAACCACTGATCTGAAACAATAAATCCACTTAGTTGAGTTGGACAATTTTTGCAGGAATTTTTTTTGACTTGTTACTCAAATACCCGTTAGAGTAAAGAAATAAGAGGGGTGCAAGGGGTGAGAAAGTACGTGCTGTATGTCCACGTGTTACTGACTTCATTGCTGTAAGACACAAGCATTGCGTTCTGCTACCTGGGCTGAGGTGGCTTTGCTCTCGTCGTTATACACAATCAGGGTCTGGTGGCCTTTGTCACTGAGGAGAGAGCATCTGCGCCTCTTGGGTTGAAATGCAAAATAGCATCGCAGCAGTAAAAGCAGAGCCACTGTGACAAGACAAAGGGGGAATGAATTGACCAGCTCGTCCACAGCAGAGGTTCCAAGAAGATCGTGTTCTGTGAATTTATAACTTAGCCATGAATGGACAAGGCCAAACTGTGTCTTAACCATCTGTGTCGCTCCAGAGTTTAACACAGTTTGGGGTCACAAGTAGGGGCTAGATAATTGTTTGTTGAATTAATTAATTGTCCCTGGCCAGTAATGTTGTATTATTTCTTGGAAAAACAAGCGTCCTTATTAGCCTCGCCAAGCCCAGAAGCCTAGACGTGTGTATATTGCTGACCCCGTGGTTGCTACAAACGCAGGGCCACCGTTTGGCTATGCCCATCTATGGGTTCCGCTGTTCAAATGACTGCTTATTGAGTAGAATCGCTTTTGCCAGCCAACGATCACGTCTGGCCAGGGTGGCAACATGTGATCTGAGGGTAGGAGCCCAGGTGCACCCAGAGGTCACGCTCAAAGGCCTCCCACCAATCCTGCCAGCAGCTGCGTCCCACCCCAGCAAACACCGTAACCCTGGCCTACGCCTGGGGAAAGGAGCCACAGTCCCAGGACAGCCCCTGCTGACCACTGACCTGCCAGAGCCACGAATGCCACGCAGGCCAAGGACAGGGCCCCCACGAGCTCTGCTCCTGCGTGTGAGTGTTCCACACACGCGAACCCACCGGGGCAGGAACAGATCCTCACGTGGACAGTCTGCCTCTGGGAGACCCCCTGTCTGTCTCCAATGATGAGCGGCACCGAGTAGCTACCACGTGGGAGGCTTCTCAACATGAAAAGTTCAACTGACCGACCTGCAAAGGGAAAAGGAACTCACACTCATTTATTTGTTCATCTGCTCAACATGTACTTACTAAGCACCCTCCGTGGGCCGAGGCTCTGTGCGCAGTTAGCCAAGTGCAAAGTTGGAGGGACAGTCTCAAGACCACCCTCACTTCTGACACCAGCTGCAAGTTAAGGGGTTCCCAGGACCACCTGCAGGTTCAAGGATTCTTTAGAAGGATGAACAGGACTCACTGAAAGCTGTTATACTGACGGTTCCGGTTTGCTACGGCAAAAGGGTACAGTTGAAAATCAGGCCAGGGAAGCAGGACACAGGGCAGATTCCAGAGGAATTCCAAACGCAGAGCTTCCCATCACCCTCTCCCCAGGAAGCCAGGATGGTGACCGTGAGTGACAGCACATACGGAATATGTGCTCCCGGGGCAGCTCACCTTAGCTGTGGGGTCCAGAGCCCTTACCAGGGCTGGGTCAGTAAACCTGGTTGGCCTCCCACATGGCTGACCTCAGGCTCTGGCCTCTCCAGTGGTCTACTGCTACTGTGTGACCAAAAGTCCCCACCCTAATCACACAGTGCCTATGTGGTTCAGCCCCAGTCACCCAGGTAAACAGGCTCTTGTGTCCGCCACGACATCCCAGGGGCTTAGAGATCCCCCCATATCCTGCTGGAAACCAAGAGCAAAGACCACACCTCCTTCGGGACCAGGTGAAATGCTTTACTACACGCTCTGGGACTAGGAACTGCAACATGAGCACACAGTTCCAACTTAAAACGTGCGGCACTCTACAGACCCCACCGATGGAAGCACAAAGGAGAATGCTTGCTGACCCTGGTCGCTGGTTGCTTTCACCTCGCTCAGCATCTGGTCCTCCTCTGACAACACTTTGCAGGAGCCCACACTTCCCAAACTCTCTGCCTGTGTGGATCAGGAGGGCTCAGCCCAGACGGCAACAAGGTCCAGGTGTGTGCTGGGAGCCAGCCAGCATGTGCGCCCTTCCCAGTCCCACCTACAAGGGTTGGCAGGGCAGGTGACCCATGCCAAGCGGTGATACCCATCCTGGAGCTTTCCCTGGAAGCGCCCGCCCTTCTTGCCAGGTGCTAGGATGTGTCCCAGGGACTCCCAGCAGCCACTGCTGCTCTGCAAGGAGAGCTACCTGACAATGAAGGAGCCCAGGCAAGGGCACAGCCAAGGGGTGGAAAGGTGACCTCCAGGGTATCCTCTGCAAACCCAGACCCAGCTCTGCCAGAACACAGGCTCACCTGAAATTTTTTGTCATTAATACAAGTAAGCTAAGAAATTCCTTTTTTGCCTAAGTCCGTCTGCATTGGGTCTCTGTCATTTTCAACGCTTTACCCCTGGCCGGTACACTCACCCCAATTTTTGCCCAATCTCCATGTGTCCTCTGCATGTCCCCAGGTATCGTCCAGCTCGAATGTAAACGGGTCAGAGTAGGGCTCCAGGTCCGGATCGTCTGCCTCGATGAGGAGGGGCTCGTTCCCCGCAGACTCACACACCTCCACGTCGCGAGAACCGGGCTGGAGAGCGGGGGCGTTGTCATTGATGTCAGACAGGAAGAGCAGCAGCGTCCCTGTGCCCGTCTGTGGTGGGACGCCTGGTAAAGAGAGGGATTCCGGGAGAAGTTGTTCATCAACTGAGGAAGCATTCCTTGTGCGCGCAGAGCCCTGGAGAAGGAGCACCCTCCATCTCTCAAGGAAGAACCGTTCCGCCAAAATACTGGGACCGTTTCCCCTTCAAATTCATAAGCCTTACTGGCATGCACTGGATTTGTTTTCCTGCTTCTCTAAAAATTCAGAATATCTGGGTAAGGTAGGTTCAGACGCTTGCCTGCTCAAATCATTTGTAGAATGAGGTGGAATGTGATATCATTAAATAAATTAAAAAGGTCAATCGTGCCTGGTGTGAAGGTGGAGGGAAGTGGGCATGACAATAAGAGGGTGAGTGAGGGGTCCTTGTGGGGATGGAAACGTTCTGGATCTCGGCTACCCTGGTTGTGATGTCGCACCACAGTTTTGCAAGGTGTTCTCACTGGGGGAAACTGAGCAAAGAGTACCTGGGATCTACTATATTGTTTCTTAAAACCGCATGTGAATCTATAAGCATCTAATAAATTTTTTGTAATAAAAAATTTTGAAACCATCATGAACTCATCCATAACAGAATCACAGGACCCTAGAACATTAACCCCACTTTCTTTCTCCGCCCATAATATTGCTTAGGAACACGTTCCATGTCTTCATAACCAGTATTCAACCAGTTAATTATACAAGTGGGATGTACAGTTACGTATCACTGGGAACCTGGCTTTCAGTTTACAGACTTCCCCAAATGCAATTTTAAAGTTATTTGAAATTTTTCATTTATTCAAATTTGTTTTGGAGTATTTAAAAATTCATCCTTGGGAAATTGTAGAGACAAGTACTAAAACATTCTCATAAAACCACCCACCCTGGTTTATAACAAATTTGTCCCACACGGTCACATTTACCTGAGCCTATAAGCCACCTCGAGTTCGGGGAAACTGTGCTAAATATTTATCACACGTCGTTGGCTTTGGCAAAGAGCTGAAGAGTTATCTCATGAACAGATGAAAAGGTGTTGGGTTTGACTGCAGCTTCCTCACTGCCATAATCGTCTCTTCTGAATGAATACTGCCCTCTTTTGATGGTATTGGTCCCTAGTCAACCATTTCAAGAATTATTATCAGAAATAATCCCCAGCATGGATGCAAAGTGATAACAAGGTTTCCTTTATATTTTTCTCAGTTGCGCTGAAAGACTCTCACCGGTGTCATTTTCCCTCAGGAAGAAAGAATGAGCACTTTTCCCCCAGCGCTGGGTAAACACTCACCAGTATCGACAGCGTGAACGACGATTGTGTAAAAGCTGTCATTGACGTGAGGCGATTCTCGGTCAATTGGCTTCGTGGTGATGACAACTCCCGAGTGTTCATCTACGGCAACCCAATTTGCTGGGTCATGGACCAGTTTGTATCTGGTAGAAGGAAAACACACACAATCTTTAGAATTAAAAATTTACATCAAAAGAAAAATCAAAATATGCCAGAGAAACACTACTCTTCCTATCCCAAGTAATTTAGGAGATTCTAAGAGCAGTTAACACCACAAGAGTGTTCATGAATTTAATGAAGACAGGGGGATGACAGTCTGAAGACTCTATTAGTGTGTCAGATAGATATTCTCTGGAATACTAAGCGACTCCCTCCATGCTGGGCCGAACATAACTGTGTCTGCCTTGGGGAAGCATCTCGCACTGGAGGAGAGCCAGTCTTCAACGACTGCAGGGCCCAGCAGCTTCCCGCTCAGAACTAACCTGCCGCTGCTACAGAGGCCCGGGACTCCGCTACTCTGGATGTGCCCTTTGTAGCAGAGCCCAAAGGATCCACGCCTGGGTAACCTGGTACCTTTTTCAGGGGTGGCCATGCTGAGCCTGCCAGGGTCTCTGGGAGTGGTCAACATCAGATGGCATTTGCTGGAACCTTGCCAGATTGCCACCCACAGCCACCTGCCTAGGGACCTACGGTAGGGACCTCCTGGACTCAGGCAAGGGACAGAAAAAGTGCAGGCCCCAGAAAGGGTGCAGAAGGGCAATTTCTCCTTATGCTTCCTCTTCATCACCTGGGAAAATGCTTTCGAAAAGGTCAACAACTGGCCCTCCCCTATATTCAGTGGGTCACAGATTTTAAAAGGATTGAAGCTTTTTGTGCACTGCTTCACCTCTTATGGAAGCTTCCAGGAGTCCCTTAGAAACGCTGTGGTTTGGCAATGTTTACAAACCAAGGGAAGACACTCAGTTCATCTGTGGATTATCTCAGGCCAAGTTCATGAAAGTTAACTCCGGTCAATGCAAATGGAGCAGAACAAGACTAAACAAAACCTGCTCATCGGATCTAGTCTCCACCCCACAATAGACACTCAGCCTGCACCCTGGAGAAAGCAATATCTGAGGCTAAAGTGAATGGAGTGTTTAGTTCTTGACTCCAGCACAATCCAAACATGTACTGAGACCGGCTTATAAGCCAACCATGCTCAAGAGACAGCAAGACAGCAAGCAATAGATGTGGGCTCGACATCGGTGGTTCTCAAAGGCAGGTCCCTGCTAGCATCATTAACACCACCCGGGAACTTATTAGAAAAGCAAATCCCAGTCCTCACACCCGAACCTCTAAATCAGAAATTGTAGGAGGGGGCCCAGCAACCTGCATTTTAACAAGCCCTCCAGAAATTCTGATACACGCTGTAGTTTGACAACCACTGCTGAAGAGCTGCGCTAGTTCGACACGCACCTGTGTGCACGGGACAGTCCCTGGGCTCTGGGTTAGCTGCTCCCAGTGAGAATGGCAAAAATTAAGAGCAAGTGCTGAGAAATTCTTACAGTCGTAGGCATTGCTGTGTCCCCCTAGTAAATTTTCTAGTAATTCATTTTTATTATGTTTTGCAAAATGATCACTCCATAATGCATTGGAAATGAAAAAAGAAACCTGGCCCTTCCCAATAGGTACACTGAGAAGCGTTGCTCTAAGGCGGAATCCCAAACTCAAGAGTGGATGGGGCCAAGCAGGTGCTAGAAATGAGTGGCGTTGGCGGAATGAGGACTGAGGCCAGCTGCTGAGCCTCAAGGGTGAAGGGGCACGACCTATGACCCCTGCTCTGCCCCTATGATCATGGCGCCGTGTGATACGGACCCAAATAGGCCAAATCGTCCTGCTCCTTTGAGAACAGCCAGAAAATGCAGCTGTTACACATAATCCCCTTCTTTTTAAATGCTGCAACTTTATTTTTAAAACAATCCACTAAGCAATCCAAGGACGGATGAATAGACAAAAAAAAAATGTGGTAAATACATGCAATGTGTATATTATATATGTATGTGTGTGTGTGTGTGTGTGTATTCAGCCTTAAAGGAAATTCTGACATGTGCTAACCATGAATGAACGTTGAGGACACTATGTCAAGTGAAATGAGCCAGACCCAGGAAGGCAAAGGCTGTGTGATTCTGCCTGTATGAAGTCCCGAGAGCAGTCACATTTACAGAGACAAGAAGGTGGAACGGTGGGTGCCAGCGGCTGGAGGGGGATGGTGATACGTGTTTAACGGGGACAGAGTTTCAGTTTTGCGAGATGAAAAGGGTCCTGGCAGTGGACGGTAGTGATGTCTGCACAACCATAGTGGATGTGCTTAGCGCCACTGACTTGGTTAAATGCCAAAGATGGCTAAAGTAGTAAATTTTACGTCACATGTATTTTATCACAATTTTTATAAAAACACTTGTTGCCCAGAAGCAAGAGGGCTGCCAGTTTATAACCTCCGGTAAAGAGGGAGATAGAAACGTATAAACAAATGATTCTAATACGAAGAAAAGACAAGGAAAGAAGCACGTGGGAAGTGCAAAGGGAATGAGCAGGTGACTTCCCCTGGGGGGTCAGAGAAAGCTGCAGAACCAAGAGGACATTAAACCCGGGCCGGTGGGCATCCGCCTGGTGGCTTCTAGGATTTTCGTAACTGAGGCTTAGTCAGCCCGTGAGCGCGTCAGAGGGGCTCGCTGGCCAGTAGAAGTCCTCGTGGTAGCTGCGGGGTCCACGCTCCCCGCTGCCTGCCTGTGCCTCCGCACTCACCTTATCTGGCTTGCGCTGCCGTCTGGATCCAGGGCGTTGAAAGTTCCCAGCCGGGTTCCGGGCCTGGCGCCCTCCTCTTTGCTGACCAGGAAGCTCTCAGGGTGAAAGGCCGGTGGGTCATTGGCATCGGTCACCTGCACACTCACGGTGGCACTTGCCGCCGCCCTCCTGGGCTGCTGGAGCTCGCCCCCCTCGCAGAGGAAGGGCCGCTCCTCATTCTCCGCGGTGATGACGAGGCTTCGCACCGGGTGGGTTTCGTGATCCAGAGGCTGAAAGCCAGAGGGGTTTCATTAGCACTCGCGGCTCCTGGGGCCAGAGGAAGCCCAGCCCCAGTCGTCAACGACGGAGAGCGTGTGGCTTTTGCACTTCATGTATTATTTACATTGTCTTTGATAATGATCAAAAGACAGTCTTCAGCGTGTTTTCAAATCATTTATGGAGTTCTTTTCTTTTTTCATTTCCTCCTCCTCTCCTGGCTGAAAAGAGCCACCATCCATCAGAGGGTCATGAAAAATGCAACAAAACCCATAACCTAATGAAATATTCATGTGACAACCCTGCTGCAGAAAGTCAGGGAACTTAGGGAAATATAGATATTAATGATCATAGCGATTCAGGGTACAAAGCGGTCAGTGACTTAAGAGGATTGCAAGGCTGGGGATGTTTGGAAGATTCCACTCCCGGCACCTGGCGTAGTGTCTCAGAGCCTTGCTGGTCACAGCGCCCTCTGTGGGCCATCAGCATCACCTGGGCGCTTGTTAAACTGTCGGGGGGAATCTCGGTGCCTTTTCCCAGGTGACTCACCTGCGCTGCGTGAGGGACCCTGCTCATTCTAGGGTCTGGCTGAGAGCTACGAAGGCTAGAGGCACTGGGGTCAGACTGCCCTGGTCAGAATCTCCACTCCACCGCTCTCGAGCTGTGTGACTCCTTGTAAAGGGCCCAACCTCTCTGGGCTTCGGTTTCCTTATCAGTAAAAGGAGTTAGGAATACTGTCCTCCAGGCCTGACTTCTCCACTGGGCGCAGGCAGGCACCGTGCCAGGGGCACACCGTACTGACAGGGGCCACACAGATGTTTGTATTTCTTTTAAACGTTACAAGTTTTAAACACTTAAAACTCACAGGAAGAAAAGAAGAACTTCTAGGGTTGAAGAAAATGTTTTCAATTTTTATCACATCAGGAAACAATAAACGTTTTAGGGCCTATGTAAATCTATTACATTTTGCCTAAAACAAAACAAATGGTGAAATCTTTAGGTAATGCCGCAAATAATTCGTAATATTGATACAACCTTGGTAGGAGGAGCGCTCGGCCCACACACAGAAGTGGCCATGCGGCCCTGCCCTCCAGGTTATACAAGGTGCTCAGTGCACACCGTAGGTGCCACGAGCTGCTCGTTCCTAGTTCATTGTTAGTTATGCCACAGAAAGGGCCCTCGGCGTCTACCACCACCTGGCTGGTGTGTTATGGCTTTACCTTGATGACATTCAAAACGCCTTCATTGGTCTCAGGGTCAGTCAAAATGTCAAAATGTCCCTCTTCGTTGCCACGTGATATGTTGAATTGCACTCTCCAAGCTGCTGTCGATGGTGAATCGCCATCTTGGACAGGGAGACGCAACACGCCCTGGATGACTTGACCTTCAGAAACCTGAATCTTGTACTGAAATAGGCCACATCATGTCCGTGTCACAGAGACAAAGAAATGCAATTGGTGGGGGGAGAAAATGTGGGTCCTCAGCACGACCCCCTGCGGCCTGGAGAGCCCTGATGCTGCCGGGACTGACGTTAAGGGGGTGAAATTCTGCTGCTGCAACAAGAGCATGGATGAGGAACCTCGTGTCCCTCCTACCTGTGATTTGTCGTCTGCAGCTGAATAATTTTCAGAGCAGTCTTAAAGCCAACTCCATGCACTATTTTTCTAAGAATTTTTAAAATAATAATACGCGTCCTACTTTGTTCTCTAAAAATCCTAGCTCTTCTCCTAAAGCAGGACACTTGTGGTTGCTTAGATTAAGGTGATCAGTTTTCTAACACAGACCTTTCAAACCGCTTGTTACTCGGTGTCTTTTGGTGACAATGTACCCAGACAAGCACATCCACAGCAGGCTCTATTTGTTTCAGCCTCAGTTTTGAGAGCTCAGCTTTTCATCAAGCCAGGGAAGGAATTTAAAACAAGGTTCAAACATAATATTATTTTGTAGTCATTATGTACTCTCCGTGAGGTGCCTTCATCTGAGAACAGTTCACTTTGGTTTATACAATATTTTTAAAAGATTTTAAATGACACCTTTTAAAAATAATTGTTTGCATCATTTCTTCAACAACAGCTATCGTGTACCAGATTGTGTTTTAAATGCTGGGAACAAGACAGGCAGTGACCCCACTGTCAGGGAGCTGACAACTGAATGTGAGTGTGTATATATATATATATATGTGTGTGTGTGTGTGTGTGTGTAGGGAATATTTAGACAATAAATGAAACCAATTAACTAATTAAATAGAACACCATGAAGAAGAAGAAAGCACAAAGGGCTGGAGTGTGCTCCAGGAAGGGAGTGGGGGTGTTTTAACTGGGTAGTCAGGAAAGAAAGGCCTGACTGAGAGTCCAGGAGAAACAGGGACAAATAATGGATATTTACTTTTTAAAAATATACATAGAATAGTAAAAAAATAAAAAACTGGAAACAGATCCTGAGTATTCTTATCTCCTTACAGTCTCGCATGCCTTAAGTGCTGTGGTGTATCCGAACGGTCTTACGCAGTGCTCTCGACGCTGTCTTAAAGGCTGAGAATCTGGAGCGTGTACCATCCTACGTGGAGCCCCAGCGCGTAGACCCGGCGAGGTGAGGAAGGCGGGGCCAAAGCCTACCTGTGCGTCACCCCCTCTAGAACCCTGAACAGTGTGAAAACCTCAGGTCTAGACTTCTCGGCCAAGGGTGTTTCTGCTTCCCAGGGGACATTCGGCATCGTGCGGAGACATTTTTGGTTGTCCCAACTGGGGGCTGCTGCTGGTGTCTAGTAGGCAGAGGCCAGAGGTGCTGCCAACGATCCTATCACACACAGAACAGCCCCCACCCCAAGGAATTATCTGGCCCAGTGTCACAAGTTAGGAAACCCTGACTTCAAGTGAACAGGGATTCTCTATCTTCCCTGGGCCTCAGTTTTCTCATCTGTAAAATAGAAATCATTTGGTGCTTTCAACAATTAAAGATGCACGTAAAAGTTCTTCGCATAGTGTCTGGCATGAAGCAGTCAAAACGTACGCTCACGTGACGATTAGTACATGCTTCTGGGTCGATACGGTTTTACTTCTTGATTCTAGCTTAAGTTTCTTTGGAGAACTGCTTGTACCTTGGGTGATACCCCCAGCAAAACTGAACCTAAGACCCCAGAGGCCTTTTGCTTTGGGACTTAGAATTGGGGGCAGCCCGGACAGCTTACATTTTCCTGGGTAAATGCAGGCACGTGGTTGTTGCCGTCTTGCACATCCATGTGAACTGTGGCTGTGGATGACAGCGATGGCTCTCCACCGTCCTGGGCTCTGATGATGAGTGTAAACTGAGCCGCAGTCTATGTGGGGAGGAAAAGGGAGGTTAGACCCTTAAAACACAGGAGAGGAAAGATTAATATAGAAATATTCCATGTAGCAATTGCAATAGCAAGTCTAGCCACAGAGGGTTCCCCTCTGCAAACACAGAATCTGAGCCTGAGGCTCAAAGATAGGCAACACGTTTTGTATTTTTTAAATAATAAAATCCACATAACCTCATAATCTAAACATCCTGAGAGTTTTATTTCTCCGCTAATACGATCAATCCGGAAACTGCTTTCTTTCAGTAATGGTGTTTGAGAAACGAGGAAATAAAGGACTTGAGAATTTGGAGTGTTTTCTTGATCCAAATCAACTGCCAACATCTGAAAGATAGGCTGACCTGGAAAGAAAGTTTTTAAATTGTTACTATTGGACAAAGGCAGCCTGTCAAACCAGTAAGAGGATGAATTATTTATTGAATGGCATTGGGGCATACACCAGAATGAGTGAAATATATAAATATAAAATCAAACTATGCACACACTGGACAAGATAAAGTTGAATGTTTAAATAGCTATAAGGTCAAAAATACCTTTTTAATCATGATTGCAAATGCAGAAGACTTAAAGGACAAAACTGATAGATCAGGTCACATTTTAAAATGCATGGCAAAAAACTATAGACAAAATTAAAAAGGAAATGATAAAGTGGGAAAACTTATTTGAATTATATATGGTAGGCAGATATTCTCGATATGGAATGCAGAGGTTAAAATCAAGAAGAAAAATGACAAACAGGGTAACAGAAAAATGGACAAAAGAGAGGAAAAAGCAACTGATAAAAAAAGTTGAAGCCTGTAATCATCAAAGACAACATGCGTGGACAGGCATGTTGCTGGCAGAAGAGGAAATGGGGGCACTGAAATCGTGTGTGCAGTTGGAGCTGGCAAGGTGACGTCTCTGAATTAGTGCTAAGTAAACCCTGCTGGGTTGGGACATAGATTTATTACAGCTTATGTCTGTTCATTGAAACATATTTTATAAAAATAACAAAAAGTGACAACAAAATATGCATGTTCATCAATAGAAAGAAGATTGGTTGAATACTTTAAAGCACATCATAACGCATTACGCAATAGGAGGCTGCAGGAGAATATTTAGTTACAAACAGTAAAATCGCATTTCTAAAAAAGGAAATTCATAAATATACACATATAAAAAAGCACACCCAATATGTGTAAATATTTAATATGTGCACATACACATTTTGTGCTATAATAAAGGTGAAAAATGTACGTATATATAAATATGTATTATATATTGTATATTATAAATAAAGATCTGTGAATGCATACATATAACATACAGCATGTATATATACAAACATATAAAATGCAAAGAAAAATATTGAAAGGATACAGACTAAAACACCATAAGGTGTTTACCACTAATGGTATTTATCTCTCATGAGTAGTATTAAAGATGCTTTCTTTTGCAGACTTTTCATTTCTCAGAATTTTCCAAATTTTGTAAAGTTTATTTTAAAAATTAAATAATTTTTCCATTATTAAAATAAATCCACATTCTAGTAAGAGTGGTTGGGATTTGAAGACTCATGGTATCTGTAACTCAGAGACTTTCATCTTGTTGCCGTTCTACAGATGAGAAATTGGCAGAGATGATCAGGAACTTGCCACCCAGCTCTTTTTCCTTCACCCTTGCCACCCAGCTCTTTTTCCTTCACCATATGTGGCTTTATTTTTAGATGGGCATTTACATACCGGCTCTTCCAGCTGACACAATGTCTGCATCGTTTTATTGCCAATACAAAATGAGGCTGACAGACCTCAAAGTGTTTCCCTCCGATGCAGGGCCTGCGACCTTTGCAACGTGAACGGTAAAAGCTCCCTGAAGACAGCAAGGATCAAGCTCCACTGCGACACCAAAGGAGGAAGGCAGAGCAGGGACAGAAGCCCTGCAGGGCCTCCTTTCCGCCCCCCACCGCACACACCTGCAGCTTGGTTCTCTTTCACACTGACGTTAAATTCCTTCTCAGGAAACTGGGGTGCGTGATCATTTACATCCCTGATTCTAATGTTGAAAATCAAGGATTTATCCACAGTTTCCCCTGTTGAGCGATCCACAGCATCGAAGCAGACCTAGGAAGCAGAGAACTGTATAAATGTTGCAGAAACATTTCCTTGATGACACGAACCAAATGACCGTTAGTGTGATTATGTGTTTTGTATCTGTCTCCTCCACAAGACTGACAGTTCCTGAGTGCAGGAATCAGATGCATTCATTCACCGTGTAAGACTGTGTAAGCTCAGGGATAGCGCACGGTGCTGGCACAGACTGGGTGCTCAATAAATGCAGAGAACAAATCAATGCATGGACTAGAAAAAACAATCGATCAGTTATCATTAGGTTCAAATCTCAGTTTCTCCACCTGAGTAAGCACAGGCAAGGTGCTTATGAGCTTCATTTTCTACAACCTATCAGCACTGTCATGAGAAATGAATATGCTACGAAGTATTGTTGACACATGGCAGACAGCAGACACTCTAAGGTTTGGGGGAAGTGCACATCTACAGAAACTCGCACAGCTACTGACGTGCTAGGTTCTGCACTTGGCTAAGAAAGGTCGATCCACCTCGAACACGCATATGCGCAGCCTTTCCCTTCAGTAGGTCTCAAATCAATAATTTAAGTGTCTATCTTAAGAAATTTTTTAAGAGAGAGCATATTAACCCTGAAGAGAAAGAAAGAATTATAAAGGTAAGAGCATGTATCAGTGGAATGGAAAACAATGAAACAATAAAGTCCTGAAACCAAAAGCTGGTTCTTTGAAATTGTCAATTAAATGGATAAAGCTCTAGGAAGACTGATGAGCCACAGGAGAGAGTGCCAACACCAAGACTGAGAGAAGGGCGGCTGCAGACCCCACACACGCTAAAAGAATAACGAGGAAGAGTACCGCCAAGTTTATGCCAATGCATTCGAAAACTGAAATGAAATGGACCAAATTCTTGAGGGAGAAAAACAACCAAGACTTTCTCAAGAAGAAATAGGTAACCTGAATAGTCTTATGTCTATTAAAGAAATGGAATTTGTAGTTTAAATCTTCCATGAAATAAAAACAAAAAAACTGCAAGCCCAGATGATTTCAATAGTAAATTCTAGCAAAATAGGAAGGAACAGGTAATACCAATTCAACACAGTCTCTTCCAGAAAATATAAAAGGAAGGAAAACTTCCCAACTTATTATATGAGACTAATGTTATCATAATACCAAGTCATATTGTAAAAAATTACGAGAAGACTACGGAACAATAGCCTTTGTAAACCTAGACTCAAAAATCCTCACCAAAACATAAGGGAATAGTGTCCAGCAATATTTATCATGAGCAAATGGGGTTTGCCCTGAGAACATAAGGCTGATTCCACATTTAAATCAATTTTGGCAATGCTGTAAGTGGAACATTAATATGTAAAATTCGATTACATTTCTATAGACCAGCAATGAATAATTAGAAACCAAAATTTTAAAAGCAAATATAAAATGTATGCAGGATCTGCTTACTGAAAGCTGTAAAACACTGATGAAAGAAATTAAAGAAGACCTAATCGAATGCAAAGATATTCTGTGTTTATGGACTTAGTGACTCAATATTGCCAAGATGACAGTTCCTCCCAAATTGACCTGTAAATTTGGTGCAAGCCAAATCAAAAGGCTAGCGGAAATTTTTAGAGATATCAACAAGCTGATCTGAAAATTTATATGGAAAGGCAAAGAGATTTGAATACTCAAAATAATTTTGAAAAAGAAGAAGAGGACTTATACTATGTCATTTCAAGATTTATTATAAAGATAAAATAATCCAGATGGTATAGTATTGGTGAAAAGATAAATATATACACCACTGGAACAGAATAAAGAGTGCAGAAATAAGCTCACGAAATATAGTCTATTGATTTTCGAGAAAGGTACAAAGGCAACTTGGTGAGAAAGGACAGTTTTTCAGCAAATGGTGCTGCCACAACTGGATGTCTATGAGCAAAAACAAAAACAAAACAAAACCCCGGATCCTGGATTTACATCTCCCACCTCACACAAAAATTAACTCAAAATGGATCATAGACCTAAATGTAAAACACAAAAGTATGAAAATTGTAGCCAAAAAAGGGAGAAATTCCCCATGGGCATGTGTTAAATATGACACCAAAAACATGATCCAGAAGAAAAAAGTATTGATTAATTGGACTTTATCAACATTTAAAACTTTCGCCTGTGAAAAACACTGTGAAAAGAATGAAAAGACAAAGCCAGTGGCTGAGGGAAAACATGCGTATATCACATGCTGACCAAGGATTTGGGTTCAAAACTCAGTAATAAGAAAACAAACAGCACAATTTCAAAATGAGCAAAGGATTTGAACAGACGCTTCTGCAGAGAAGATCTACACATGGCAAATAGCGAAGCATTTGTCATTAGGGAAGTCACACCTAAAGCCACAGTGAGCCACCACCACACGGCTATTAGAATGGCTAAATTGAACAACCTGACAATACCAAGTGCTACCAAAGACACAGAGCGACTGGAATTCTCGCACATGTGCAGTGCAAATGCAAAATAGTTCAGCCACTCTGAAAAATAGTTCGGGAATTTCTGATAAAGTTAAATATATACTTGTGTGATCCGTCTAAGCCACTCCTACTTGCACCCCAAAATGAATACTGATGTTCACATAAAAACTGTAGATTTATAGCAGTTTTGTTATGATCACCAAACACAGAAAAGAACCCGAGTGTCCTTCAGCTCGCTGTATAAAATACCACTACTCAGCAATAAAATGAAACAAGCTTTCGAGGCACGAAACAGCATGGGTGAATATCACATCCAGACTTGAAAAGTGACATACTGCGTGTGTCCGTCTTTGTGACGTTCTGAACAAAGTAAATACGTGAGGACAGAGAAGAGATTGGTGGTTTCCAGGGGTTAAGGAGTTGGGGGGAGGTATACATTTTACTGTATGTATATTTTTAAAATAAAGTTTTAAAAGTGAAACACACACAAAATGTGGAAGGAGTAAATGTAGTTAAGGGTTCTAAGGTCATTGCAGTATCCAAGAAGTCATAAAAATACTTTATATTGAATCTAATAAGTGAAGAATGAATGTTGTAACTTCTCTGTGGTTTTAGTTCTCCCTCTGTGGAATGAGAACAGAGAGAAAGGTTGGGAGGTAGGGCAAGATTTTTCATTACTATTTCATAGATTTTTCTATTGTTTAAAATTTTATGAGACGCCTTCATTAATTTTACACCTGGAAAGTAAGTCCAAGTAACAGGAACGCTCACTCATCGCTGGTGGGAATGCAAAATGGTGCAGCTACTTTGGAAGACAGTTTGGTGGTTCCTTTCAAAACCAGATATACTCTTCCCATACCATCCAGACACCTGTTGAAAACATATTTGCAGGCAAAAACCTGCACACGAATGTTCATAGCAGCTTTATTCATAATGGTCAAAATGTGGAAGCAAACAAGACGTCTTTGGGTGGGAGGGCGGATAAACAGACCGTGGTCCATCCGGCAACGGAATATTACACAGCGATGAAAAGACGCAGGAGCCGTAAGCGCAGTGCCGGGTGACAGAAGCCAGTCTGCAAAGGCTACGCGCCGTCTGGTTACAGCTCTGTGACATTCTGGGAAAAGCGAACTGCAGAGAGAGTAAAACGATCAGCGGTTGCCGGGGGCTTGGGGAGTGGGGAGGACAAACAGGTGGAGCACAGGGGAGTTTTAGGGCAGTGAGACTACTGTGTATGACCCTGTGATGGTCATACGTGTCATTATACATGTGTTAAAACCCATAGAAAGTACAAGACCAAGGGTGCATCCTCTCGGACAGGACGCGCTTTGGTCAATCCTAACGCAAAATGCTGGCGCGTGGGCTGTAACAGACGCCCCCGACGGCAAGGTCCAGCAAGGGGAAGGCGGGGCTGCGGATGCGCCGCTGGGACACTGTACGTTCCACCCCATTTCTCTGGGAATCTGAGACTGCGCTAAAAAATAAAAGTCCATACATGTTAAAAACTATGTCCTTACAAGACAAGAATAACTACATATTTAATAAAATATAACAAATATAATAAACATAAAACATAGGAGAAGGCATAAACCCCGCACCGAGGAGCGGCCCAGGCAGAGCCACTCTGCAGCGGTTCCCCGGATTCTCCAGGACCAGCCGGTGTCCAGGGCAGATCCTGCCCGGGGACGCTGGGGAGCACGCGGGGCCGGGAGGACTTCCGGAGCCCCAGCCCTTAAGGCAGACGGACTCCTTTCCTCCCGCAGAAGCCCCAGAGGGAGGCGCCCTTGCCGTCCAGCTCTGCACCGCGGGGAGGCCACATGGCTGCTCCACGCTCCACGTGGAGGCCAAGCAGCCCGGGTTCAAGTCCAGTCGGGGCGGGGACTGCACCTTTGGCCAGCTCTCCCCACGTCTCTCTCTGGCTCCTCAGAGCCCAGAGTGGGGGCTCCCCGACAGCACCTGTCTCGGGGCCTTGAAAGCTTCCGGCGGCAGCAATTCCCCCACCCCTTGCCTCAGGGCCCCCTGCTGGCCTCTGCTCTGCCGTGGCAGCTCCTCGGGCCTCCTTTCCCTGCAGGCTTAGCTGCCCCTCGTGGGCTTCCTCCGCCGGGGCCCACCAGGCCTCCTCGCAGGGCCCAAGCCCGGTCCGGGGCAGCTCCCTCCTCCCCCATAGCAAGACGGAGGGGGGCTGCAGGGCTTCTGCTACTGAACTGTTCTGCTCCGGGGACTCTAACATACATTTTTAAATTTTTGTGCGGGCAAATTGGCCTTCTCGCACACCATCTCCACATTCTCCTCCATAATTCATGACTGTGCCGGCGACTCTTTGCCCTTAATCACCCTGACTTTCGGCTCCCAAACTGCACCAACTGTAATCCTTCCCCTTCAAGCAAGAAGTACATGTTTGTTTTATGTTTATTATTTTGTATTCCATTTATTGCCCTAAAAGCTACATCTGAGACCTTTAGCTCCGTAAGATGCCTGAGAAGCAGGAGTGCGGCTTATTCTCTGGCAAGATGCTAAGAGTTTCGGGGGACTTAGAATCACAATGGAGAAAGGAAATGTCACGGATATTTTCTGCACTTGGAAAGTGTTTTCAGCCTTTTGTTACGGCCTTAAGATTTATACCCTCGGATAAACACACCATGGTGCAGTTACATGATGAATCGCCATATGGCTATTTGGAATTACATGCACAAGATCTGAAGTCTTACACACAAATGAGCACATGGGAACAGTGCAAGTGCCAAACGCAAAACACGAAATCATTTAATGAATAGGCTAGAAGTGGGCAAAGGCAGCTGTGTGGGGATAAAGATGGATACACAGTTATTTCGAGGAATATAAAAAGATGAATTTTCAGGTGTATTGGTATCCTGGGAAAGCGAGCATATTTTGATATAAATAGATAAGATTCCCATGCAGACAAAAGTCAGACTTTCCCCTCCAACTCTGTCTTATATCCTACAGCAATTCGCAACTGCTTTCTCATAAGTTTCTGGAATTAATAAGGAGTTAGCCTCTCCCCTGCCTCCTCCAGAACACAAGTTTTTGTTCTGGCTAATTTTAGAGATTCCTTCAGGGTCCTCAAGAGTGAAGCAGTGCTACTAGAATGTCTTTTTGCCACTGCATTAGGTTTACCTGATTTTTAACAATGCCTGTCTTGATGGACTGCCAAAACCAATAATATTAATAAAAGTTCTTCTGCAGAAGCGGATGGGTAAGCTAGGATGCTTGATTTGTGTAATAGTCACAGGACACTTGGCTTCTGCCACTCTTTGTGGCCGGTAATCCTTCGCATCGGACGGCTACATATGTTTGTAACTTGTGTGTAAATCCTGTGTGTTGGTCCTGTGGCTGCCATAACAAGCTGGGAGGCTTCCAACAGAAATTTGTTCTCTCACAGTCCTAGAGGCTAGAACCAAAATCAAGGTGTCAGCAGGGTGGTTCCTTCTAAAGACTCTGAGGGGGAGTCTGTTCCATGCCTGTCTCCTGGCTTCCATGGTTAACAGCAAGCTCCATGTTCCTTGGCATCATTCCACTCTCTGCCTCCGTCTGCACACGGCATTCCCCTCTGTGTCTGTCTGTGTCCAAAATTCCCTCTTCTTCTAAAGACACCGTCACTGGGTTGCAGCCCACCCTAATCCTGTATGACCTCATTTTAACTTGATTATATCTGCAAAGACCCTATATCCAAATAGGGTCACACTCACAGGTACCATGAGTTAGGACCTGAACACATCTTTTGGGGAAACACAATTCAATTCACAACACCTTGCAGGGCATAGACTATATTTTACTGTGCCCATTCATTGATTTATTCATTCATCCAACATAATTAACAGAGAACCTACTACATGAGAAGCCCTGATCTTGACTCTGGGGAAATGGCAGTCTTTCCCAGAGTTAAGAATAAGGCAGGATCTCCTCCTCTCAGAACTTACATTCTAATGAGGGAGATTCATTATTGACAGAGAATCAAACACAGAAGTGCACATTTCAGATAATGAGAACCATCAGGTAATGAGAACAGGGTAACGAGACAGAGCTTGATGGGCAAGGTGGAAGCTCAGAACTTCCACCCCTCGTGGAAGTTTGTAGTCAAATGAGGGGACCAAGTATCAAATAATTACATAACTCAATATGAAAGGACAACTGCCATCCATGTTTTGGGGGATCAGAACATGGTTTTGGCTTAGCCAAGAAGCTCCAAGCATAGAACCTTGAAATCTTGACACAACACAGCCAATGGGGATACTACTTGTTTCCCCTACATGCTTTCGCTTTTTGCTCTAAATGATGCTGAGGACCCACCTGAGATGTGCCAAGCATTTCCATCTCAACCCCAAGTTTCAGAAAATGCTCATAGAGATTTGAGTTAAGCATCATCAGCTTCTAGGCACAAAGTCCCACATTAATCATTGTGAATGCCAGCCCTTAATACCTCACTGAAAATGTTAAAAGCAAATAAACAACAACAGCAGAAAACAAGCCCTGAATGTTTGGTTTCATCCTTGCACAGGTCGTGACCATCACTAGCTCCTCCCTGCCAGACATGCAGACGCAGCTCGTGGACCGGCAGCATCTGTATCACCTGGGAGGTTGTCCGAAATGCAGTCTCAGGCTCTGCCCCAACCTACTGAAATAGAATCTGCATTTTACCAAGATCCCAGGTGATCTGTTCGCTCATTGAAGATTAAGAAGCATTGGCTCAGGGCCCCATAAGACTACTCTATATTCCTTCTTTCTAACAGACACTGCAAATTCTGCAGAGAAGGGAGGCAAGAGTTTATATGGTTAGAGGAGATCCAGAGAGAGTCATCTCTGTCTGTCTTCCAAGGTTTGGGGAGAATATCTGCCTGTTTAAAAACTAAAGATTCAGAGCCTATCGGTGAGCTAAAGGGTGTATATTTTATTGTGTATATAAATACTTTGAAGCCACCGGAGCAAGCTTCACAAGTTGCTTTTCTGAAATGTCAGGCAACATCTTCTCACTCTTCAGAGTCGATGACAGCCAAGCAGGACTGGGAACCAAGCCCCGTTCCCAGCAGCTCCGTCCCACGGAAGTGGAAGTAGAGCAAGCTCTGGCCCTCTAAAAACTCCCTGCTAGGTCAGCTGGGTAACATGATATACCACCATGTGCTCTGGGCATTTTCATGTGTAATTTCCTTTCCTGGCTTAGAACCTGAGTTTCAACTTCATCATAGACCACGGTGTTGGGGTGATGAAATTGTAAGAACACCTGGTTTCACAATAAGACACTGTCAGTAGGTAGCAAGTCCTCACTCACCAGTCACTGGGCAGCCCATGCGGTCTGTTTATAGCTTGTCTCCATGGTCTCCATGGTTTATGCATGCCATTCATAAAAACCCTGAATTAGCCTATTTTATAAACATTCTGTGACTCTATCCCCAAATGCTTTCAGATATCCTGACCATGTGGGGATATTGGTCATCAGAATAAAGGTCTACAGCAGCCCATACAGATTGCAGAAACTGTCACAAAGCCAAAGTCCAGCATTCTAGAAGATTACAAAACTAACCTGTGTCCCATGCTTGTCAGAGTGTATATCTTGATCTCCCACAACCTGGCACATAATCAGTTTCAATAATTCTTACCAAATACAATAGTCCCACAAGAGCTTTACAGTAAATCCAAGCTTAGATATTATAACATATCAAATTTTAGATACCATAAAAGACGGTGTTGTTTCACGATCGACAGAGCGGTGAACATATATTTTTCCATTCTTGTGATCTTCTATAGAAAACAAACCAACCTCTGGATATTCATCCACACCAGGTCCACTGATTAAATACATTAATCTCCTATTTTCAGACATATTATTGAACAGCTGAAAGGAGAAAAAATGGAAAGAAAAAAAGGATGAGAACAAACCACTGTGATAATCAAGTGTCAAGGCTCAGAATCAAAGGCATCTTTGAGGACTCATACCCAGCAATGGCACAGCTGAGGCTTTATATCACACTAAAGAAATAAACAGATACATAAATATGTGGGAACAAAGATATTGGCTGCAGTTGGTTAAAAACACTGCATAGCATAAGTGTCCATCAGTACGAAAACAAATCATATAATGACACTTCCTTCATACAGTATGGGATCGTCTGCAGCCTTTGAAGATGTATTTGCACTGCCACGGAAGGGTGCAGGACGTGTCCTTAAATAAGAAAGGCAAGTGGCAGAACAACACACGTAATGTGATCTCGTTTCTTTAATCCAGATTCACATTAGCAAATGTGCACAGAAATATCTGGAAGAATACATACCAGTTTGTGAATGTTGATTATCCCTTGGGGGAAAGAGAAGTAGTGATCCTGCAGCTGACACTTAGAAGAAGCTTGGAATGAGCGGCCTACTCTATGCCTTACTTGCCTTCTCCTATTATATTTAATCTTTAAAACATCACTGACACGTAAGTGCTATCATTGACCCCATTGCGTAGATGAGACATGTTAAGGATGTCCAACTCCCACAGTGAGGACGTGGTGCCATGGGGACAGGAGCCCACTCAGTCCTCCTGATTCTCAGGAGTATATACTTACATATACTGCTTTTCATAAATATTACAAAAATACAAAATATATTTAATTTTTTCTAAGAATCATAAAATGT